TTTACAACAAAATTTGTTAATTGCCAATAAAAAGGAATCATGTTCCTAGCATCAGGGGGAGAGAAATAAATATTAGGGAGGCAAGAGATAACTTGAGATGCATTTTCCAAGATCCTTAAATAAGTTGATATGAATTGGAATTCTAAAATTCTATATTATCAATTGATGAATGCATTTATTAACGAAATGAAAGTAATAAATCATATATCCAAGCTTTAAGTACTCTTACTTGTATTGATATTCTTATTAGAAAAGTTGCTAAAATATTAGCAACTGGGTATATTATGTGAATGTTGGAAGTGTGTTACAATAAATGGTTCTAAGGATAAAAACTGAAAAATGAAGCAAAAATATAAGTAGAATATTAAAATTGCTAAAATCATAAATCTCTTAAAAAATTCTTAAAAAATAACCCTAAGAATAAAGGGATTATATACCTGAAAACAATAAGAATGTTAAAATTATAAACAATGGTTAGATCTCTATTAATTATAGTTCTTCTAAAAAGAGGATGGAACTAAAATGAAATCATTATTGATAAAAAAAATTTTGCATATGCAATAGTGATGGATATAGTCAATGAAAATGAGGATCTTAAATCAAATTTATTAAAAATTATCAACAAAGAAATAATAAGCCAATATGAAAAGAGATGATCCGAGTAGAATTTAAATCACGGTAATTACATGATGTTTTTGGATTAATATTCCAAATATATAATGAAATAATGTCTATTAAATTTATTCAAGTGAAAAGCCAAGAGATTCTTTTAAAAAATTATTGGCTTCTAGAACTTTGAGCAGCTAAAATACTAGATTGACAAAAATTACCTGATTATGAATATGCATTGAATTCAATGGGATTATTATACACAATATACTCTTTTTCCCTTCACCAAGGTATTTTTTCCCATTGGGTTTTCCTAGCAAGATTTTTAATAAGGCAATTTAAAACGTATATAATAAAAGGTGAATATCTAAGATAGAGTGTTGTGAATCAATTTATTGTGGATTTTCACATTTTTTATCCCCTCACCTCCTCACTTTCCATGACATTTATACACCAAGTAATAATATAACTTCCACTACCTCTATGTAATTACAATGGTAATTTATACTACCAATAATGCCAGGCATTTAAATAATGATAATGGAATTCCTTGTAATCTCTTCATTAGTAAGAGAGTAATCCTTATAACATCTCATTTAGTGGGTGTTCATTCCTTATAACACTTATTACCTATTGATATATATATATATATATAGGGTTTGTGCTCTTACAAATATATGGAAAACAAATAGAGAAAAAAGGAATAAAAATATAATATAATTTTACGTTGCCTTACTTTGTTTTTTTAATTTTTCTTTTTCTTCTAATTGTTTCTTTCTTCATTTTACAACAAAAACAACGGGTATTTTCTGTTAGATTTTAAGTTTTGCTCCTTGAAAATTTTAAAGGCAAGTAACTGAAAGAAGAAAATTAGATTTGTAGGTGGGAGATTGGCAATAATTGTCAAAATCAAGGAGAGAGAAGCTGGGAAGAAAGATGAGAACATGAACATGAATATTAGCTTTCAATTGATACATACTTAAAAATGTCATAGCAAAGCAGTAAAATTACCATCTTCATAAATTGTTAACTAGAGTTAAAGATAAAAGATAACAATAATAAAATTAAGATATTTTGATCCATTTAATTGCTTATTGTAACTATTGAGTTTTAAGGAATTGGGTTCTTAAGGTGCTGAATTTTAGAAGCTTTATAAATATTTAAGTGGCCTTAATTTTTTTTTTTTTTTTGATTGTTTAAAGCTATGCAAAACTTTAATTATAGGTGATGGTGTTTAGTGGATGTGTATTTCCCATTTTTTCGTTTCCTTTTTAAGGTAAAATCCTAGACTAGATTCGAGTGTTTGGAGAAAAATGTGACGTATAGTTGAGTGGAAGAAGAAAAGAACTGCATGCGCAGCCCACCAACGGGAATCAAACGAAGTTGTAATTTTTATAAAAGTTTTAATGTACCACCAAAAAAATTTTATATAAGTTTTGTTCTGGTAAATTTTTTTAGTTTTTTTTGGTACAACTGAGGGAAACTAACTAATTAGCAACGCAAATAAGATACGTCTAATAGGTCCCCTTCAAGGAAAGCATTAAGGCCAGGCGGTGGAAAATCAAAAATGGTGGTTCCTACTGGTAAGCTACGCCCAATTCCTGCAAGGAAATCAGCAGTAAAATTACCCTCCCGAAACGTGTGTTGAATGACAAATGAAGTGAAGTCATTACGTAGCCGGAAAATGTTAGCTACTAGCACAGCTGCTAAGCTGTCGTTGTCCTTAGTGCCTTCAATAACCTGAACTGCAGCAAAGGAGTCCATTTCTACAACTAGCTGACTAATCTTTAAGGCTTTACACATGATCAAACCTTCTCGACGTCCGCATAACTCAGCTAGGAAAATGGAAGCCTGTCCAATGTTCACAGAAAAGCCTTTTATAAAAGCACCTGGGCTTAATTCAATTTTTAGTCTATTAACTATCACCTTGATTTCATTTTAGTCTAGAAATTATGTTTTATTTCTAAGTGATCTATTAACTTTCAGATTCATTTCAATTTCGTCTACTTGGTCAAATATAACGGAAAACTTCATATTCTGTTAGAGAACAGTTAGTCCTCTAATTATATTTTTTTTATCTTTTAATCCTCAAATTTATATTTATTATAAAAATAGCTTTTAT